AATCTGCTCCACTGACGCCCCTCGCCGATAGACAGGTACACTCCGATGTATATACTTTTTTATTCAAATATACGAGGATGATATTTTCACTTTTATTTGGTATGCATTTGTAGCAACAGCATGATAACATTTATTTGTTTTTATTTGCGTTTTATATTCATATTGATAATTCACGTTTTGTCTTGGATAATAAAGCACGGTTATGCATAATAAATTGTATGCATAATAAATATTCACTATCACTGTATGAGGTAAGAATCAACAGCTTTTTATCACATTTACACAACACTTTATGAATACAAGTTATGAACAAATCTTAAATATGTTAGGGAATGTGTTTACTTTTTTAGTTTTGATTTTGAGCAGCAAATTTGGAGTTACATATTGGTGCTCACCAGGAATGCATAGGCAAAATTGCACAAATTTTCACTTGAAAGAATAGTGGCGATCTTGGGATTTTTTTCTGTTCAATTTTCAAACTGTAAATTTAATACACTTCATCTTCAGCATGTTTAGTGCCACTTTTGTAAGTAACCACGCCCACGTCCAGGCCACGCCCACGCCTAGGCCACGCCCCTTCCGCTTTTTTCATCACTCGCCATTGCCATGTATGTCATAGGGAGATTTTAATCATTGTTGTCTTCACTGTATCGAAATGTTTTCATATTAAATATTCCAACTAGGATGGGATGACTGTAATAAAAACAAAGTTTAAGCGTACTATTCTGTTGCCGTTTAATTTTTGTATGCTGTGCGTTTCCCACCTTTGAGTTCATGAATAATTCACTTGACACAGTTCAAGCATCACACCAACCGGCTTGCGCCGGACGCTCCGGATTGCGCATCGTCTTCCTTTGCTTGCTTCTCCATCCCCATATGTGTTTTTGCTCGCTATAATCGCCTGAATTTCTGCCCGCGTGAGGTGTTGTTTGAACTCGGTGTCCGTCTGATGGTAGTCGCTGCTGTTCGTCAAGGTTAATGATCTCATTATAAATCATGTCACAATCACTCATCCATCTCCTACTGCGCTCTCCTTTCTTTTCCTTTCCTTTCCTTTTCCTTTCGTCGCCCGCTTCTGCGCACATGCCCGTACATGTGTGCGCGCCGCATGTTAATTCCGGGCGCTCCATCCGCAGACGGGCACATTGGCACGCACACGCATGCTGATAAATGTCTTCGCACACCCACGTGTAGATAATAGTACATTTATTTTTATATATTTGAACTGTAAGCCTCGCATACACACACATGCCTGCTCACCCAGTGTGATGATGAAATGGAAGCCACTTCACGGAAGCAGATGAATGAATGAAGGGATGAGTGGAAGATAGAGGGAGAGGTCAGTGCATGGTGGATTGATCCGTGAATGGGTGAATCGATGAATGGGTGAGTAGATGGTGGATGCCGCATGGATGATGACTAGCTCTTTTGGGGGGGGGGATGCAACGCTGTAATCATAGACAACTGTCTTATGACATTTTTATGATCAGACTTGGATTGGTCTGTCAATTAAAATGTTTGTTCATCACTCTGATGAAAAATGATTCCAAATTTTACAGTTTTGCCACTTGCTGTCGACTGAAAATGACATCACGGGAGTCCAGGACTCAGGTAGCGACCAATCATGGCTCAGCTTGCAAACGTCACATGTTTTTTTTTTTTTTTTTTTTTTTTTGCTGAATTCATATTCACAATCCCAATATCAGACTGCCGTATTTAGAGTTGGTGGGGGTGCAGGGAAACTTTTGTTGTGAAGAACATTTTGGACTTGTCTTCCCTTTTAAGCAGAATGCGTCACGGGCCACGGAGCTCGAGTGTTTCACATCCTGTCCGGAGATGAACTGGGTCCACACTCACTTCGCCTGCAACAAAATGATGCACAAGTCAAAGAGAGTGCATACAAGTACCGTTACACTCCAAGGAAACACAACTAGCATTAACGATAAAACGTAATTAGCTCCAACTATTTACAAAGGCTGCTTAGCATGCTAGGATGCTTAGCGTCAAGGTGAGTGACTCACTGGCAGTGCTGTAGAACTTGTTCTTCTTATACGTAGTAGTAGCATAACTACAGTATATGTTTTAGTAGTACAACAATCGAACACAGCTAGATGAGAACCGTGAGACTCAACCCGCTCAATTATTAAATGCAGTATATGAGAAATGTAAAACACTTTTGTATTCTACAGTCCATATTAAACGCCTAGATTCATAAATAATATAGAGTATAAATGGGGCGGCCTGGTGGTCCAGTGGTTAGCGCGTCGACCTCACAGTGCAGAGGTACCTGCGTGGGTTTTCTCCGGGTACTCCGGTTTCCTCCCACATTCCAAAAACATGCACCATAGGTTGATTGAACACTCCAAATTGTCCCGAGGTGTGAGTGTGAGCGCGGATGGTTGTTCGTCTTTGTGTGCCCTGCGATTGGCTGGCAAACGGTTTAGGGTGTCCCCGGCCTACTGCCTGAAGACGGCTGAGATAGGCTCCAACACCCACCCTTGTGAGGATAAAGCGGATCGGAAAATGGATGGATGGATATACAGTAAAAATAATTTTGAAATGTATACGATATCAATGTGACATTTCATATTCCTTCGTACTCACATGAAGAGATATGGACAGAAGGAAATGTGCATGTTCCTTTTTTTTTTCCACTCCCGAAAAAAAGACGGAAAAATTATACACATGCAGAATACAAGTGATTATTCCTTCTCATGTCCCGACAGTAGCACCTGACGGAAGTGTCGTTTCCACAGAAACGAGCTACCACTTTGATCCCAATTTCAAACGTACGCTTAGCCACAAATGCTGCAGGATGTTTCCAAAGCTATTTATGATCCATTGTAATGTCCCATTATAATATAGCCATATATTGTCATCTAACTAGTGTATATATAATCTACATTCGGCTTTCGGTATACGATGCACCAAAACCCTTCAGTTTCAAGCTGAGACGTGAAAAGAAAGGGGGCAGGCTGGTGGCGGGGTCACAGTTCACGACAGCCCGTCTTCGATCTTCAGCTAAATAGCCAAATGGGGGCTTAATGGCTGCTGTTTCCATGGCGACGTGACCAGAGCATCGTCGGCCGCAGCGTCTCCAAAGATCAGGAGTGTTATTTTTAAAGTGACATAAGCCAGAAGATGGAAATTCTCCACTGGATGTCTGTACTTAAAGGGGGGGCTCAGGGCGAGGCTAATGTGCAGACGGCGAAACATGACTACAAAATGAAGTTTTGTGTGTGTGTGTGTGTGTGTGTGTGTGTGTGTGTGTGTGTGTGTGTGTGTGTGTGTGTGTAGGGCAAGATGACAGAATTCTACATGTAGATATTAGCAGATGTGTTATGTTGAAAGATGGGTTTTAATGTTTTTCGAGATTCATTCTCTTCCTTCTGTGGGCTCAATAATCAAAATTAATAAAAACCTTAGAAGGACAACTATTGAATGCCCTTTAGTTTGATCTTTTTCTCCGATAACGTTAAATTTACAGATTTACAGATCATGTTCAAGAAAAATACAACAAATTATTTCATTTAGTCAAAATCAAATTTATGAATATTCTTCCGTTTTTATATCGTTTTTTATTAAATGCCCACAAAACCC